AGTTTTTTTAAGGCAATCGGTTTGCATGCTTTTTTAAAGTAACCCCAACTAATTAGATTTTACAGTGTATGCAGTGTTTTTAACCACATAATGTTTATTTTAGGTTTCAGACATTTAAATACACATAAGTACTAGTAAAACAATACATTTAGAGTTTGTAAAATACACAGATATGTCTATGGAAGCAATAATAACAATCCATTCAAATTTAATTTGCCGATGTGTTTTATTCATATCAGATATGTATAGTGTAAGTAATTATAAAGTTCACTCTATTCTTCACCCAGTTCACCGGCCACTTATTATTTGTATTTCGGGAGAAATTGATGAATTCACGTGCTGTAAATCCGACTGGCAGGACTCTGAGCTGCAGCGCGAACAAAGGCACCCATCTTGCGTTGCAGATCACGATCAAGTTCATTTAGAAGTGTCACGCCCCATTTTTGAACATAGATGTGAAAGTGCACTATCCAAACTTAAATTAATTAAATTAATTCATGAAAACTTTGGAATACAGACCTAAGGTTTGATTCATTTTTAAGAAGACAATCTGCAGATTACTGCAGAAATGGAATCCTTTCAAAATATTAAAGTATCAAAAAGTTATAGAAGTTTAAATTTACTGTGTCACTGTCATTTTATGGTGGATGTGGTGAATAAGATGAGAGCAATCACAATATTGATTTTAAAGAGACTGAAAATGATAGTTTTGAGAATATGGTTGAGATAGCGAATATGGCCCAGATGCTGAATGTACTGAGGAAATGTGCTCTTACAATGACAGTGATGCTAAAATCATCTGCTCAAACTGAACACTTCAAAGATTCAAGATGTAACGAAACATGTTTTGTTTTATCCTTTTGGTCTCAGCCTAATTAACGTGTGCCCCTTTAGCAGTACTTGTCCGCGAGGTTTTAGCGTTATTAAGGTCTGCTCCTTTAACTGCTCCCATCTGCAGGATCTCAGCCTGATCAGTGGTTGCCCCTCCAGCAGGACACGTCTGTGTGTTGTTAGTTTCATTAGTGGGTTTCACTCCATCAGGATCATTCGGTGTGTTGTTAGTTTCATCAGTGGGTTTCTCTTCAGCAGGTTTATTCGGTGTGTTGTTAGTTTCATTAGTGGGTTTCTCTTCAGCAGGATCATTCGGTGTGTTGTTAGTTTCATTAGAGGGTTTCTCTTCAGCAGGTTCATTCGGTGTGTTGTTAGTTTCATTAGAGGGTTTCTCTTCAGCAGGTTTATTCAGTGTGTTGTTAGTTTCATCAGTGGATTTCTCTTCAGAAGGATTATTCAGTGTGTTAGTTTCATCAGTGGATTTCTCTCTATCAGCACCAATAAGGGGCCGTCCTTCTCCACTATTCTCCTGAAAGAAAGAACACAGATTCAAAGAAGGTAAAACAAATGATTGTGAAAAAAAATATTGATGTTTCAGTTACACTAAAACATGTTTTCCCCTCTACAATAAGCAACCTCTAAACTCTTAGAATATTTATTACATTTTATTCTACTTCTTGTAAGATTGAGACATTTCAAATGATACATGACTGTGAATATCATGAATATGTATGTAGAACATTATATTTTGCTATTGACTATTCTGAGTTAAGTGAGTGAAGGGAAGGATGGGTGAAGGAAAGGATTGTGGGGAAAGGAACAAATATATAGGTGAGAAAGAGGCTTTCCCACATCTTCTCTCAGTGAGATGTGAAAACAGATGTCCGTATCTCAGGAGACAGTATCTGAGGTTCTTCCAGCTAGGCCTGGGCGATAAAACGGTATCGATATTTATCGACGGTACACCTTCTTCGATAACGATATAAAAAAATGTCGATATACCGAACGATATAGGCATAATAAAAATAAACATTTGCATTTGAATGTAAAAATGCTACAATCGAATGTTAGATGTGCCTCAGGGAGCGTCATCAGTGGCACACGAGATGTGGTGATGATGATGTAAGTGACGTTGTAGTTTAATGTTTTGTTAGTCTAGCCCACGAGACGCGCCGCTGCTGTGTTATTCATTCAAAATATTAGAGAAATATAGTAGCTCAATGCATAGAAGATCTTGATTAGGTTAAAACCGAAACCAAGCCATTCACACAGAACGCATATTCAGCGCATTTTTTAGACGGACAAATATGACTGTTGCACTCGCGTCTCACACAAGAGATATATAGAAAGCCATGCAATGTTAAAACAGTTTAAACGTTTAGAATTTGTGGAGGTTTATTCCTTTTCACTGCGTCTCGTAGGTTTTTAAAGGCAATCTGTGTGATGGGCGATTCGCTCTTTGGATTAAGCAATGCATAAATACGTGATGCTGTTTTGTTCATAATTGTTTATGCAATTTACGAAATTATATTTGATTTATATGAGTTAATTTAGACGTAATGCACGTTTTTTATAGACAGTTATTTGCATTGGCAATTTAATGCTTTTGCATTAAATTTTATGCAATTTAATTTAATGTTTTGCTCATTGCGCCCTCTTGTGGCCTCGGGAAACAAGCCAAAAGTTTAACCTATTTATTCTGCATATAAAACATTAGAAATTAGATATTTGTTTAATTTTTATTTTGTTTTTGACTGTTAAAACAAACAAAAAATATATTTGTTGTTTGTCTCAATAAATTGAGTTAATTTAAAAATACAGTGGTTAAATGTAAAAAAATGTCTATTTCTCTTTGTTTTAAAAAAGGTTATAAAAAATGTCAATAATTATCGATACCGAACGATATGAAACATTATATCGTTGATACATTTTTTAGCTATATCGCCATGCCCTACTTCCAGCCTTACAAATTAGAATAATTTCTTCTGTTTTTTATAAAGCAGCTTTCCAGAGTATTCATGTTTTTACTCACGGACATCTGATCTCGGCGGACTGAACAGAATAAATCAACTGGAGAAGATTTCTACATCAAAGAAGGTGGAGCCCAGAAGCCACACCTAACTATTGCATAACTGCCACAGACCAATTCAAAGCAAGTCCTTTCAAATTCCCAAACTCCAACAAAACAAACTTTGTTTTGGCCTAATTTTGTTCAAAATGACATCATACCAGTTAGTTATTCAATTTTGCTTGAACTATATCGGAGCGTTAACAGTTCTCAAAGTCAATATGTTGTAAATTCATAGTGTAGGTGTTTACAGATTTTGTGCACATAGCATCTCACCTGATCCTGATCATTGTGCTTTGTCCTTTTTTCTGCTTGAACAATAACAAAAAATTACTTTGGTCAATCAGAATAAAAATGCATACTTTTACGTATTTTAAAATATTTTTATTTATTTATTTTTGTCAGATCATCTGTATGCAATACTTGCCATTTTGTTTTACTTGTGTAGATCGCCTGCGGTGACAATAAATCACACCAGCAGCTGCAACCAGCAGAACAGCAGCAACAACAACAACAGCAGCAGCAGATGAATCTGGAACAGCTAAAGACGGACACTCATTTTTACTAGAGATGGACTGATGAACAACGATACTTAAACCTTGATATTTAGTAGAAAGTTGTATGACATTGATTTATTTGATAAAGGTGTCATCTGGTGGGTTTGTAAGGAACAGCAGCTAAATCAGCAAGAAAACCAAGAAACAGCAGTGTACAAAGTTATATACTGAAACAGTTATGATCTCAGTTATATATTGAATTGAAGTTCACTTCTTCAAACAGGCCACAACGAATTTACTTTTACTGGTTCGATTGAAATTGATCAGTTTTCTCAAATGGTTCAAGTGAAAAAACACTTAATGATACTCACCAGTGACAGTAACACTGAATGTCTTTATGATGCTGAATCTGCTGCTGTTGATCTGTAGTTTATAAAGTCCAGAGTCTGTGGTTCTGGTGTTTATGATGGTCAGAGATCCAGTCTGATCATTCAGCTTCAGTCGGTCTCTGAATCTCTCCTTACACTGTTCATCTGTACAGATCTTACTCTGATCTCCAGTGATTTCAGTGATGAGAGTGTCATTAAAATACCATATTTTTAAATTATTTGTTTTTTTTACTCCATCCAAATGTAAAGTAATAGATTCTCCCTCCTTCACTGACTTTCTCTTCATTTTATCTTGTTCAGCAGCAGGAACGTCTGAAACACAAACCAACAGCTGCAGGAGGATCTTTTGGGGGGAAACATCACAAAAGATTACAGAACTGTGGATATGAAAGTAATAAAAAAAAGACCTCTTGACTTTCTGTCTGAAAAGCAACATTTATTCACATTTTGTGCTATTAAACTAATTTTAAACCAAATACTTTGCACTTAGGATTCCTGGTGGGAGAAAAAAAAATGACTGTAAAAAAAGAGATGTATTTAAATAGATGATTAGTAGAAAGTAACTGATAAAACTAATAACCAATGGGGGGAAAAATGTAAATCATACTGAACTGAATTTATATTCAAGCCTACAAATTCCACTTTAACAGTAAATTTGTTTTTGATTAAATCATCTATATAATCTATGTAAATTATTATACAGGTAAGAAGAAAAATCACCGCTAAATTTCACAGCAAAATGATAACTAATAACACATGAATGATGTGATTTACATGTATGACAGTACCTTTCAGTCATGACTCACCATGTACAATAACACTGAAGCTATTTTCTCTGTCGATGTTGCTGCTGCTTATCAGTAGTTTATAGACTCCAGATTCTGTGGTTCTGATGTTCAGGATGGTCAGAGATCCAGTCTGATTATCCAGCTTCAGTCTGTCTCTGAATCTCTCAGTACCTTCATTACACTGAACATCTGTACAGATCTTGCTGAGATCTTTAGTGATTTGAGCGATGCGAGTGTCATTGAAATACCATCTGATTCTGTCTTGTTGGTTTGTTTTAACACCAGTGTGTAGAATGACTGATTCTCCCTCCATCACAAACACTCTGCCTGTATCAAAACCAGATGCAACTGAAGAAGAAATGAATGACAGTTTTTAATCAGTTCACCATTTCTTCCAAATGAATGCAGATTCTATGAAATAAAACTGCTCTGTTCCTCTGCATTAATGGCAACACCATTGCATTTGAGATGTCAAACACTTCCCCTTAAAGAAAGTACCATAATAATACACAAATGAACCCAGTTCAAAAGTTTGCATACCCTTGATGCTTAATACTGTGCCACTATCTAAATGATCAAAATCTGTTGTTATGTTTGTGATAATTGTTCATGAGGCCCTTGTTTGTCCTGAACAGTTAAACACAGTTTTCCAGCATCTCCTGCATATTTGAACCCTTTCCAGAGACTGTATGATTTTGAAAATAAATAAAAGAAGACATAAGAGCCTTTGGATGATCGGGGAAAATACTTATTTTGTCTTCTGGAAAACATGTAAATATATTATGTAGCTACTGTACTAAAGGTCAGTACTAAATAAAATAAAAAATATGATCTTTAAACAAATTATGATGTTTAAAAGTTTACACCCCTGGCTCTTAATGCATTGTGATTCATCTTTGATTCTTTTTTCAATTTTACAGATGTGATATAATTTCACACTATTCACCATGTCTACTATTTCTATATGACTTTCCATTATTTATATTAATATTATACTGCATTTAATTTTTATATAAAACATAATATATTACATATACAATATATCATTAACATCTCTAGTTTACATAGTAAATAATGTACAGTATACAAGCATGTCAAACAATGTTTTCACTAGATGGAGAAAAAAATAAATAAAGGAGAAATAGATTATGGTACATCATTTGCATTTTATTAAAACACAGAAAAAAAAAGAAGGCGCTGACAAAATAGAAAACTGACCCAAACTGAAAAAGGAAAATCGTGCTTGTATTAACCAACACAAAGCCTTTAAATAATTGGTTCAAAAATTAAAACAATCTCATTATTCTTTTACTCTGATGTTATTCCCTTTCTTCAGTAAAACACAACTTTTAAAATTTTTAGAAAGAAATTTGAGATCAGTAGATGCATACCATGCAAATAAATGGCCGCAATAAATGGAGAGTCCAAATGTCATGCATGCACCTCCTGATCAATTAATGTCTTATGTAGCAAAACGATAGGTTTGTCTATGAAATAAATACATAAATACAGCCTGAAATAAAAATTATCTTCCTGTCAGTACTCAGTTTATCTCTTACTTGTGCAATGCATGTTAGCGTGTTCATATGAGAAGAAGAAAGCAATGCTTTGATTGTCATCTGGAATGAAAGTCATGTGAAAGTTCAGACATTTTAAACAGTATCAGAGCCCTGGTCAGGAGCACTAATTTCAAGTTGACAGAGGTGGACATTCATTGTGTCCTACAGAGCTTGAATTTCATTCGGATTAAAATGTATGTTCTGATGAAGAAAGTAACCTTGGATGGCATCAATGTAGGTAAACAATGAGAATCTTTATTTTCGAAACTACTGTACTATTAAAAAAACCCCACACATCACACCAGCTCTGGATAAATCTGGAAAGAAGTGAAACTTGTCTACAAATCAAGAAGACAAGAAGACTGATGAAAACTACCCAGGTCTGAGAGGAAAACATTAAGAAAATATTAGTGACTACAGGTATATTTAGCACATGACAAAATACAGTGATCATATACGTGTAGGTGAAACAGAAAATGAACTATTTAATATAGACAAATGCAAGTAGAAACTTTTCAAATAGCCTAAATAAATTAGGGTTTATGTTTGTTACAGCTGAGAGTTACACGACTAAGTGTAAAATAATGTTTTGGAATTAACAAACAGAGGCCTGGGATGAGACATGTTAGAAATAATTACGCTCAAGAACATTTTAAGGACAAAAACCTGACAAATGTCATGAAATAAAACATCTGACCAATGTCTTGAGGTGTGGTGCCTGTGGAGGAATAATTGAATTTACCGTTATAATCAGAAATCACTGACTAGTGAAATGCCTCACCCACCGAGAACTGTCTGTCTGCAACATGATTCACAACAAGTAGTACAGACAAAAATATCTCCATAAATGCCTCCTTGCCATGGTCATGCACAAATAAATAAATTACTGCAAAACACAAATGATATGCATTACTGTCAAATATAAGAATTGGGCTGGTTTGGCTTTGCAGACCTGGCAACCCTGCTCATTGCTGGTAGCACCTTCTGTCCAGTTATTTCCCCACCACCTATGTTTTGTAAATAAAATGAATAAATTAAATTATGGTAGTCACAGGTAAAATCATGCAAGGGATATAATAATAATAATAATAATAATAATAATAATAAAAAATAATACAACTATGGAATGCCATAAAGAAATATCATATGCGCGTCGGAGAATCATGGCGTCTACATGGCGTTGCGTGGTAGTGATGGCCATAAAGCTTCTATCGAAACCTTTGCAAAAATGTTTTTTTAAAAAGAGTGGGTCGGAGCGCATATCAAACTGAAACCACAGTCAATTAATCGATAATAATAGGCTAATTAAAAACACATTACACAGGCACTTCTTATTTAATGGTATTTTATTGTTTAATTGTATGTAATGTATTAAACTTTCAATAAAACATTTGCAGTGGGTTTGTAAAATGTTTTTGTAAAATGTTTTATGCATGTTTTGGCCTGAGACACTTCGTGTTGGTATACATATTTTAAAAATTAATACATTATTAAAAACACATTATACAGGCACTTCTTATTTAAAGGTATTGTTACGTCCGAAGACGTATTTGTTTTATTTCCTGTGTATGGAGATGTGCTTTTCTCTCTCTCTCTCTCTCTCTCTCTCTCTCGCTCTCAGGTAGCTCCGCCTTAATTGGACGCGTTCGGAACGTACCCATGGATTGGCAGGCTGGTGGAAGCGTCCCTCTGAAATACACTGGCAATGCTGACGTGGCCCAGAGGGAGAGCATGTTGTTGGCACGTTGTGGCTCCTGAGAGGGTGTCACTAATGTAGTTGGCTTGTACCGGTTATCCTTAAAAGAGTGTTGTTTTTTTGTTAACTACATATTCTTATTTATTTACGTTAAGCATCCTCATTTTGATTTTGACTTTATTGATTGTCCGTTTATTGTTCCCTTTCAGTCGGTCACTCCGAGTCACGTTGGTGACCGACGAATTGGGATATCGCTTCGATAGACCAATCCACTTCGAGTGTAAACTAAACGAGCCAATGCACATTGCCATGCAATTATTGCATCCAGCTGCCGCTGATCACAGCGTGAGTATAATAAGGCAGCAGGTGCAATGCATACCAGCTTTTCATTTCGGAGCCGAGTGACAACATCGTTCTGCTCTATATTTATTTCGAGAACTACGAGTTCAGCACTCTCTCGGAAGCTTTCTGTGTTGGCGAGACGGCACTTCAGTGGTGGTCGTTCCAGTGTCGAGTGCGTTGCACACTTCAGGTTGCACTACCCCCTGTCGTGTTGCAAGCGGCCATCTCCCCTGTGCGCCTCAGCACTAAAAGAGCATTTCCTAAAAGAGCAAATTTCTCTAAAAGAGCTCCACGGGTGCGTCTTTATAAAGACGACGGATCGTCCTTATAAGGATGCCGTTTCACCCGTGCGTTTCTGGGTGCGGTCGTTACCTGGCACCGGGTGATGGTCACGATCGCTGCCTCACGTGTCTGGGCATCAAGCACGCTGAGGTGGCCTTCGTGGATGA